TATTCATTCATTTATTTAAAAATTTTGACTAGACACACACACACACACACACACACACACACAGCAAGAGAGAGAAAGGGAAGGTGAGACAGCAAGCCACCAGGTCTGGGACTCGAACAATGGTCGGCCCTGTGGGAATGTCCAGTGTCTTAACCACCATGGCATCTGCTGGTCCTCGTATTAAAGTTTTCTAAAGGAGGAAGAAGATTCACAACTGCATCTGCATGATAGAGTAGCAAGACTAATTTTAGACTAACTTCCCTGAGATCTCCTGGCTAGATAATACAAAGATATGTTTTTCAGAATGTTTTTTTTCCTTAATAATTAAAAAATATATTTATATACTTTACCTTACTTTGACCAGAGAGGGACAGAGTGAGAGAGAGAGGGAGAAGGAAAGTGAGAAAGCAAGCCAACAGGCCCGGGACTAGAACTATGGTCAGTCATGTGGGAGTCCAGTACCCTTAACCACCATGCCACCTGCTGGCCCCCAGAACTGTTTTAATTCAGTAAATGAGATATGATGATTTTTGTGACAAAACGTATTGCTCAAAAACTTCACTGCGGACAGCTCTGGCTAGCTATAAAGTTTCTGAATTACTTCATTTGGGTGGAAATAAGGCAGAGTATCCTTGACTAGAGTTTCTAAAATAGAGATATTTCTGATCTTGGGGACTGACTTTCAACTTCGAATAATTATCAGAAGTGTCTGGAAGGCAGGAGGCAATGACCACCATCTTCCTAGATCTATGTGTCCTTTTAAGATTCCTAATTTCTCAAGCAGACTAGGACATGTTACGTGGATTCAACTTTAATTTTTTTTTTGAGAGGTTTTTGCTATAGGGCACGTGTGCTCTCCAGCAAGACAGAGAGAGACAGAGAGACAGAAAACAAGAAATCACCCCCCAGGGGGGATGGCCACGCCACAATATCTTCTCCTCCATTCTCCTCTCGGGATCCTGGGCACGCATGCATACGCGCCCGGTGTGAGTTTAAGCCACCAGGTCCAGTACTTGAACCATGGTTGACTACATGGGAGTCCAGTGACATAGCCATTATGCTAACTGCTGGTCCCCGTGGATTCAACTTTTACCAATATTAAATGACAGCATGTTTCCTCTTTTTTATTACAAAAACAAGAAGTTGCAATAAACTTCCTGTCTCTCTGTACCTAGTTTCACTTAGGGATTAGAATTGTATCATTTTAGTGGAGCACTCAAATTTAGCTGGTAGAAGAGATCATCGATGAACTGAAAGGTAGTTTTGCATCATGAAACTAGTGCCTTGTTTCCTCATCTTCTATAAGCACATTTAACACTATCTTAAAAACAAAACTTCCCTGGAGTTGGAAAAGCCTATTCCTGTGACTGTGGGTTAAAGTAACCTTGAAGTGTCTACCATCTACCATCTTACCCCATATTTCTTCCATGATTGTTTCAGTAAGTTCACAGCCCTGATGCAGTTACTGTGAACAGACCCATATCTGGGAATGATTACACTTGCATATGGATTTAACTTAGGACAGGGATAAGTTAGCGCCTTTCTTTGACCTCTTTCTGAGCACAACATACAAACAGAATCCAGAAATGATGAGTATTTTATAGCAGCTGGCTTCCACAGGTGGTAACACGGGTTCTGACACATGATGGGGCCAGGCATTCAGCAAGTGTGAATTTTGGAAGTGAGCATCTGCCAGTCTTATTATTAACTGGGAGTCAAGTTGTTTTTATGAACTTCTAACCTGGAGAACTTAAATGCATTTTTGAAACAGATTCACTTATAATTTAAGTAAAAAATATTGTTTTTATTTTACTTTCACATCCTTCAATGACTGGAAGCAGTTGAAAGCTCTGGAGAGAGGGTCCTCCTGGGGGCCCCGACCTTCTCTACACAGCTAGTGAGGGTTCCCTTCTGGTTTTAAAATTTCCATCTCTAGCCAATTGAAATATGATGATCTGTGTGGCCATAAGACAAACACAAATCAGCATTTTCTTTCTTTCTTTTTTTTTTTTCTTCTGGCTTCCTTCCTTCCTTTCTTTCTGAGATTTTTTGCTATAAGGCGTGTGTGCTCACTGGAGAGACAGAGAGTGAGAAATCAGCTGCCGGGGGACGGCCACACCACAATCCCTTATCCTCCATCTATTCCTGGGATTTTGGACATGCATACACATGCACCTGGCATGAGTTTTAAGCTGCCAGGTCCAGGATTTGAACCATGGTCAACTACGTGGGTTCTAGAGATATAACCATTATGCCATCTGCTGGTCCCCAAATCAGCATTTTCAAAAGTCCTCCATTAGTGAATTTTTTTTTTTTTTGAGAGGTTTTTGCTACAGGGTGTGCGCACTCGCCAGAAAGACAGAGAGAGACAGAAAGACAGAAAGCTGAGAAATCACCCCCTGGGGGGATGGTCAGGCTGCAATCCCTTCTTCTCCAGTCTCTCGGGATCTTGGGCATGCACGCACATGCACCCGGCATGAGTTTAAGCCACCAGGTCCAGGACTCAAACTGCAGTCAGCTACATGGGAGTCCAGCGACATAGCCATTATGCTAACTGCTGGTCCCCTGAGTGAATATTTTTAATGTTCTGAAAATATCTTTTTTTCCCCCCAGAGAGATTTTTACTATAGTGCTCGCCAGAGAGACAGAGGGAGACACAGAGAGAGAAGGTGAGAAATCATCTGCTGGGGGCAATGGCCACACCACAATCCCTTCTCGTCCACTCTCCTCCCGGGATCTTGGGTATGCGTGCACAAACACTCAGTGTGAGTTTCAAGCTTCCAGGTCTGGGACTTGAACCATGGTCACCTTTGTGGGAGTCCAGTGACAAAACATTATGCCATCTGTCAGTCCCTGAAAATATCTTTTTAAAGAACATACACATTTCTTGCTTTAAGAGAACTGTTTTAGCAGGTTATAAAAATATGTATCAGCACAAAGGAAGTTTAAATCAAATGTCTCAGTTTATGAAGAGATTCTAAACCCTGTAGAGCATATAAGATTTTTCTCGCACATTGTAGGTTCCTGGGTTCTATAAGAATTGGACACTTGGGACCAGTGGATGGTGTAATGGTTATGTTGCTGGACTCCCACATAGCTGACCATGGTTCAAGGTCCAGACCTGGCAGCTTAAAAAACTCATGCCAGGCGTGTATGCATGTGTTCCCAAGATCTCGAGAGGCGGAGAAGGGATTGTGACCTGGCCATCCCCCTGGGGAGTGATTTTTCTCTCTCTGTCTCTCTGTGTCTCTCCGACAAGCACATAAGACCTATAGCAAAAATCTCTCTATAAAAAGAAAAAACAAAAGAATGGTACACTTGGCAGGGGTCATGTCACTGCACCCAACAGGCATCACAGTTTGGCAATGACTGTAGAGCTCAAGATTAGTGTTGTCCAACAGAAGGATAAAGCAAGACATACGCAATGTAAAAAATTCCTATTAACTCTACTACAATGTACAAAGGAATGGGAAAAGTTACTTTAAATAATGTATGTATATTAACATATCTAAATATTATCATTTTAAGATACAATCAATATAAACTATTAATGATATATTTTACTTTATTTCCTGGTATTCAACTTTTGGAATCCGATGTGTATTTCATACTTAGAGCACATTTCAGGTCAGACGACCACTCGAAACCACATGTGGTGAGTGGCTGTCATAGCAGACAGTGGAGCTCTGTCCTACTTGGATGGACAGACAGAAAAATGCCACAGAACCACAGCTACCCAAACTCTAGGAGGCTTACACATATTCTAAATGAGAGGATACGGTTTCGGAGACTTGGCCTCCAAATATGTTTGTGCAGGATTCTAGTTTTCGAAGGAGTCACTCGACAAATACTGAGTATTTCAGAAAACTGAAATGTGTTGGAGAATAGCAAAGACAGGCCCATTAGTCATCAGGTCATATGTAATGTTACTTCTTCTCTATTGTTTTATTTATATTTCAATACAACTCATTTATTTTGTAAATATTACTAACAGTCTTCTGAGTACTAGTCCTGGAGAGGCTGAAATGTATTGACAAAACAGTAAAGTATTGATTCTAAAAAACACATGCAACAAAAACAGGTGGTAAAAGATATTTAAGTAATTATGTAATCAGGTTTACTGACATTCTGCTATGACTTGGATAAAGGTTGTCCCCCAGAGGTTCATGTTTTGAAATATGGTCTTCTGGGTAATGGCATTGGGAGGGGTGAGACTTTTTACAAGGGAGGCCTAGGCAAGGTCATGGTGGGATCACCCTCATAAGGGGATTACGGCTTTGTCTTGAGACTGAGCTAGTTCTAACTCGTGAGAAAGCATGAGTTCCTGTGAGAGTGGGTTGTTATAAAAGGAAGATGGGTGCCCTTAGATCTCTCTGCCCATATCCTCTCAGCTTCTGTCGGCCATCTGGTGATGCAGTACCAGAAGCCAGCCAGCTGCCAGTACCACATCTTTGGATTTGCCAGCCACCAGAACTGTAAGTCAAATAAGCCTCTATTCTTGGGACCAGCAGATAGCGTAATGGCTCTGTCGCTGGACTCCCATGTAGTGGACCGTGGTTTGAGTCTTGGACCCGGTGGCTTAAACTCATGCTGGCTGTGTGTGCGTACATGTGCGTATGTGCCCTGTATCCCGAAAGGAAAATGGAGGAGAAGGGATTGCGGTGTGGCCATCCCCCTGGGGAGTGATTTCTTGCTTTCTGTCTCTCTCTGTCTTTCTGGCAGGTGCACACACCCTACAGGAAAAACCTCTCTGAAAAATAAACAAATAAATAAAATAAACTTCTCTTCTTTATCAATCACCCAGTCTCAGGTATTTCTGTTAGCGACAAAATAACAGCACTAAGACACTATATAACTAAGGACACCAGTACATTTTACTAGAAGTAGAACACTATCTGAATCTACAAACCCTTGAAGTCTTTCTGATTCTAACAAATTCTAGTCCTTCATCCTCAGTAAATATTTACGCCCACCTACCCTTACAGCAATAAAATAAGTACCTTAGACAAATGTTCCTTTATGGTTTCATTGTCTCTCTTCACTATCTTCATCATTTCTTGGCCCCCAAGGTAAGCAGCATTAGCTGTATTGAAAAAATAAAAAGTCAAAGGGTTAGAACATATGTAAGAAAAAAAAACATCAAGTTAATTTAAATTCGTGCTCCTCCTTTTTCTTTTGGAAATTGAGATATTTCACGTGAGATATTTGTGAGACAATACACACAGTCTCTGGGAACAAGGACGTGTCTTATGAAAGAAATTTCTTTCAACGTTACTTGGCTTCACAATAGCAAAGCTTAGGGTTCTGATTGCCTAAAGTCAGAAACCACTGCAAATAAGGTGTAATTGTACCTGTCAATATGTGTCATTATGATTTAAGGATTAAAAGCACAAATGGTCACAGATAAATGATATACACAGGGAAAACTGCACCCAGCTACTGACATAAAACTATACTGACAATTAAAAAAAAATGAAAACTAAAAAGAAAATTTATTTACTTCTAAAAGTTCATTTATGTCTCCCATGAGTGCACATGCAAGAGGGAGAGGGAGGGAGGGAGAGAGAGAGAGAGAGAGAGCGCGTGCGTGCGTGCGCACTAAAGAAAGAGAGACATAGCACCCCATGGGGTCTTCAATGCCACAGTCCATTTCAGGTTCAGCCAGCTATTACTTAAATAATACACTTACTTTTTTATGCATATATGTTTTTATTTTGAAAAATATTTTTGTTTCCTAATTCTTTGAAAGAAATGTAACCTTTTTTATTGAGTCCTTGAAGGCTTGTTAGACTTGCTTATTCTGTAGAGTATAAATGAGAGGGTTCATCAGAAGGGAAACAGGTGTTGAGCAATGACACCACCTTATTAATGGCCACTCCCTCCTTTGCTGGTTGGATACAGATGAAAATACAACTTCCATAGGAGTTAGATACTACAATCATGTGGGAAGAATAAGAGGAGAAAGCCTTTTTTCTTTGCTGAGCAGAAGGGAGTCTGAAAGTAGTCTTGATGATGTATATGCAGGACATAGTTACAGGCTAGTGTGAATATGAGGGTGATCAAAACGAGTACAGCTATGATCAAAACGAGCTGTTCTACACATTGTGTGTCTGAGCGTATACTCTTGAGAAGAGAATATGCAACACAGCCAAAAAGGTCAACGATACTGGAACTACAGGAATTAGCTGAACGTCCACGCTCAGTGGTGGGAACAAAATAATTAGACCAAGTAGCTAACGGAAAAGAAAAAGAATGGTGCATACCTTTTCTTTCCTTTTTTCAGTGTTTATATTGCTATTATTTCTAGTTATTCACTGTAGAGCTATGGGATCACATTTCTGTTTTCTAATATCCCACCCTCCTCCAATATTTGTCTTTGCTATACATACCCTGTCCGCCACTGTCCACCCAATTAGATATTCTTTTGGGTCCCTTTATTTTTGGAGACCTCCTTTCCAAGGCCCTTAGACCTTCCACCCTAACCTGCACTTCTGTCAACTTAAAAGTTTCCTTTCACTCCTTTTTCAGTTTTTCCCACTGTTTTCTGAGTCTAAGTTAATTAACTCATTTATTTGTTCAAAGATTATTGAAGACCTACTATATGCCAGGCAGTGTTGTAGGCACTGAAGACAGAGCAACGAACAGGTCAGAGAAACTGCCTATTACTGAACTTCACGTTTTAGTGTTGGGGGTAGGTGAATCCAGACAGACATATATAGTAAGTAGTGAACAAATGTTATGGAGAAACAAAATAGTTAAGGAGATAGTGCAGTGACTGTGGGGGCCTATCTTGTAGAAGTCCACTGAAAAGGCCTCTCTGATAAGAGATGCTTGAACAGAGACCTGAATGAAATGAAGAAGCAGGCCATGCAGATCCCTGGAGAAGAATTCCAGACAAAGAAAACAGGGTGGGAGATGGCTTGTGGTGTCAGAGGAACAACAGGAGACCAATGTGGCTGCCAAGGATTAAGTGGGTGGGGAAGGGGTAGGAGATGAGGTTGGAGAGGAGCTAGGAGCCAAGGTCCTATTCTGTTCTCATTTGTGATTTCCTCCATTGTTTCAGGGGAGCTTATCTTTAGGTGACTTCCTAAGGAAAGCATATTAGAGAAAAAAGTTCTGGAGTTTTTGCATGTCTAAAAAAGTTTTTTTTTTTTTTTAATCTTTGCCATTCTGACTGGGGTTAAGGGGTATCTTGTTGTGGTTTTGAAATAATAAATGATAAATGCTGACGGGGATGTAGTGAAAGGGGATCCCTCCTACACTGCTGGTGGGAATGGAAATTGGTCCAGTCACTGTGGAGAACCTCACAATATGGAGGTTCCTCAGAGACCTACAAGTAGAACTATCATAGGATCCAACAATTCCATTCCTGGGTTTCTACCCAGAGGACAGGCAAATGCTCAGTTGGAAAAGTGCTTGCGCATCTATGTTTATTACAGCATTATTCACAATTGCTAAGTCATGGAACCAATTCAAATGCCCACGAAGCGATGAACGGATTGGAAAAGTGTGGCACACATACTCTATGGAATACTACTCAGCCATAAAAAACAACTCTGGCATTTGATAGAAAGTGGATGTATATGGAAGATTTACTACTGAGTGAAGCAAGCCAGGCTATGAAAGAGAGACATGGTATGTCTCCACTTAACAAATACTAAATGTCCACATTCTATGGTGGAAATTGAGAGATTAGTGAACATAGAAGCATTGAAAATGGTTATAGATTCTGGAGACAATGTGGAAAGAAGATGGGAGAAGGGGCAGAGTATAAGGAAATAAATTGAGGAAAATAGAGAGGCATGACATTTATTGGACACAGAAATGGATTATTATTTGTTGATGATAACGTATTGTGTATCCTCAGTTGGACCGGTGTCCATGTTGGGTAAATTCATCTTATAAGCAAAGTGCTGTATAGTGATCAAATGTATAAAACAAACTATATATATATATATACTATATATATATATATAACTATACATAGAGTTATATATATACTATATATACTAGTGTATATATATATATAAAAGAAGAAGAAATAGTGACCATTACTACAGGCCAATTCTATAGAATCCATGTTATATGTATGGTCTTAATTTCTTAGGGCAGATCCCATCAGATATTATTCAACAACAGACTTCCCTGGTATTGTTGCTTTTGTGTATATCTGCATTCTGCTGAGGAAATGATCCTCATCAGAGAATCAAGAGTAAAGGAAAATACCCTTGAGCTTTTCTGTCTCCTCCAGGAGAGAGAAAGCAACCACAATTATCTCCATTGTTATGTATAAATTGACTTTAAGCTTTCTTCTGTAAAGTAACACTTATCAGAAAACAAATTTCTGGAGGGACCAGCAGTTAGTGTAATGGCTCTGTTGCTGGACTCCCACATAGTTGACCGCGGTTCGAGTCCTGGACCCGGTGGGTTACACTCATGCCCGGCGTGTGTGCGTGTGTGCCCAAGATCCTGAGAGGAGAATGGAGGAGAAGGGATTGCGGTGTGGCCATCCCCTCTGGGGGGGGGTGATTTCTCACTTTCTGTCTCTGTCTCTCTGTGTCTGTCTGGCGAGTGCATGCGCCCTATAGCAAAAACCTCTCCAAAAAATAAATAAATAAATAAATAAAAACAAATTTCTGGGAAAGAAAAGAAAAACAGAGAAATACTGAAAATTCAGAATACAAAAAATACTGAAAATTCAGAATACCAGTAAGGATTGAGTGAAAGCTACTTAGTCTTTATTATCCTTAATGTGGTAAAAATTATTACAGACGTGTAATGCTACATTCTATGGGTGATCATCAAACAAGGATGGGATAAGCAAGATTCTTCACTGTTTAAAAAACAAAAAAAATACATATAAAAAAAATATGGCACATATACACTATGAAATACTACTCAGCCATGAAGAACAATGAGACCCAGGCATGTGATAGAAAGTGGACAAATATGGAAGATTCACTGCTAAGCAATGCAAGCCAGACTATGAAAGAGAGGCATCTGCATGTCCCCACTAGATATATCCTGAATGTTGGCACTCCATGGCAGCGACCGAGAGACTGGAAGATATAAAGGCATGGAGAGCAACCGTGGATACCAGAGACAGTGTGGCAGGAGGGTGGGAAATGGGGGAGGGTGAGAGGGAGGGAATCAAGGGGGAAAAGAAAGAAGCGAAATATTTATGGGACATGAAAATGGAAAATTACCTGTTGATGATAATATGTGTGGTAAAACCTTTGGTTGAACCAAATACAATGTATTCACGATGGGAAAATTAATTTTGTATGCTGTAATGATACACAGTGATGAAATGTATTAAAATAATTTTTAAAAATTAACTAAGTTATGTACTAAAAGAAAAAATTGGTTTTGGTCCATAATAAGCAAAGATGGAAACAATCTGAATGCCCATCAATCGATGATCAGAAAAATAAAATGTGGTAATGCCACACAATGAAATATTATTCAGTAATAAAAAGTAACAAGTACTGATACATGCTAGAACACAAAGCCTGAAAATACACTAAGCAAAAGAAGAACGTCATGACACAACATCAAAGTTTGTGGGAAATGGCTGATGCAGTATTTAGAGAGAAATTTAAAGCACTAAAAATCTAAGTGAGAAAAGAAATACAGCTCAAATTGATGACTTCAGTTTCAACTGTAAGAAGCGAGGAAAGAAGAGCAACCTAGCTCCAAAGTAGGCAGGATCGAGGAGGAGGTAACAAAGTTCATAGCAGGAATAACGGTAACAGACAACAATAAACTAATCAAGAAAATACATCAAACCAAACTGGGTCTTTAATAAGACACTAGAATGGATAAACGTAGCCAGACTGAGAAATAAATGTGTAAGATATAAGATACTACTAGTTTTAGAGAAGAGTGAGTGACATCTGTACAGAATCTATAGATACCAAAAGGATAGTCAGGTAATTCTGTGAATAACTTTATGCTGAGAAACAACTTGGATGAAATGGATGATGTCTACACAAAGATGCAAACTTTAAACACATTCCCAAAAAAATTAGATAACTTGAACTATCTTACATTTACTAAAGAAATCGAATTTGTAACTTAAAA